TGCTTGTGCATCCTATGCTGTACAAGACGATCCCTAAGAAGCACAACCTTTCAACCTTTGGCACGGAGTGGACACAGAAATTAAATAGTAACTAAACCGATCAGCCGTATTAAAAAACTCATATGCGCATCTGACCAAATTTAACACGGTCGGCCTCAGACCTTACCCAATGCTCTGAATAGAAAATAGTATTCCAGAAAATGTGCCAGTGCTAACCGTAGGATATCACAGAATACGTCGACTGTCTAATTCTGAACTAAAGCCGCTGGTTCAACCGTATGCCTATTCAAGATCGATCTCAGTCATCTTCAGCTCCTGAAGGATAAGTATCAGTATCCAATGCTTTCAATTTACCTCTCATTCCGCCAAAGTGGACGGCAATAGTTAGAAAGCAAATAGACGATGTTTTCTCACACCGTCCACTCTGAGGCACACTGTGACAAAAATTGAATAAAAAGCCATCTTGTTAGATTTGGCATGAAGTATATTACGTTTCTTATTGCTAGAAATTGATAGAATTGAGTATGTGTAATAATAATATAAAGCGAAATATTGTGCTCTTTTAAATACTACCTATGCTGTGTATTAGTTTGCAGGCAAAAGAAAAATGATCTATAACAAAAGTTGGCATTTAGGCTTCCATAGCTTCATCATATGGCTGTATGAGGTCCCAAATTTAATCACCAAAAGAGGCATTTACGCATTCGATTTAGCTGTAGGCTATCTCTTTGATTGGGTTGATAGGGTTATTTCTGCTGCCTGTTTTCGGATCCAAAGATCATCTATTCGTTTGGTTTACTAATCGCCTTCTTGATCACTACTTTGCTAAACTTGGTTGCTTTTAAGGCTATTTTGCAATTCAAGGGTGTTTCTCAACAACGTATATCCAATAAAAACTAAGTTATCCCAGGCCTTCGCTTTTTTGAATTATCGTTGCCGCATCATGCCAGCCCACGTTTTCCTTGGTTTGTCAATTTTTCAAAGCCGTGCGTTTTTTTTTAAATTTTTTAGCCATATGCAATAACTACCAACGTGTGATTTTTCTAGAGCAAAAGTGTGATAAGATAGTATATAGACTGCGTGCAACTTTGACCGCTGAATGAGAAACTATCGACAGGCTTTGACACAGTACGTTTAGGTCAGTGGATAGAATAAGCGTTTAGTGTACCACCGTTTTCTATTATCTATAGCTTATCGAATAAATTTTTTCGCGACGAAAAAGTGAGCGCATTGTAATTTATATAATAAAACATTTTGACCTATTACATAGGGAATACAAATTGTATAGAATTTGAACGCTCACACACATACTTTAATATACACACACGGACACATTTTTAGCTCTTTGAAAGTGCCATTTGACTTGTTTTTTAAAAGTCTTTGTTCTTATCGAAATCACAATGGTCATTGCTAATATTTATTTAAAGTTAAATATTTCCTATTTTTCCTTTGAAATGATAATTCTCTATCATCAGTTTTAATTACCATATCTACTTCAGCGGCAGCGACAAGCTTTACGATTCTATGTAAAAATCACGCACAGTTTTAGATCAGCTATCGTTTCGGTGATAATGAAAATAAACGTATACTGGTGGACGCGTAAGGGTAATCCTTCCTCATATCTTGTGCGTCAAGCAAGGCCTTCGGATCACGGGTGCTGGAAGGGAGAGCACATGGATGTTCTATCTGTGAGACGATATCACGTTTATCGTAATTTTAGTACAGTACTAGTCTACGGCAATATCTTTTATACATGGTAATATGCGTATTGATTATCAGTGTCTTTCTACAGTGGACAGAACAGCGTCATACCAAACAAACATATTGGTTATATTCACTAAGAGGAACGAATTTTTTCATTGGAATGAAACGTATCCTGATCCGAGCCATTTTACGAATAGGACTTGGCAAAACATGATCCTAGTTAAATGGAGCACTAAGTGCGTAGTGAAGGTGGGTCGGCTGATAGATATTAAATAGAAGTAACTGGCGGCTACAGTATGTTACAGATCGATTAGACTTTCGATCATATTGCGGTGGTAAACGAAGTAAGTTGCACTATGTTGTACTATATCCCAATCAATACGAAGTCGCTTCATTAATTTCTGGTATAACACACTATAACATTCTCGTGGAAAAGCAAACTCGGTTATTGTACCCAGACGGCCGATGCGCCTTGAAAATTTCTCTCACTCTATTGGAAGTCTCTGTTACAGGAGAAAGAGGAATTTGTGGGTGAATTGAATAGCTGTTCACACGACAAAAAACGGTGACTCGTCTCGTTCAATCGGCTTTGTTCTTTGTGCTACGTTATGAGCCACACGATCAATAACCTTGTCTTAGACCATCTGAGCATTGTTGGTGTTGTTGCTGCCTTTTGGGTCGGCCGGACAAATAGACGGACAGAAACTCTGCTGTCACGGTTCGACCATCGTGAATCTTCGGTCGATGTTTTACCGATTTGAAGTTATCTTTTTTCTCTGATTAGCCGTTTCTTATTTTCTCATACATTACATTACATTATGTGTTTTTTTTTTTTCGTGTAGAAAACTACCACAACGGCGGCCAAGGCAAAAGATGCAGCTACGGTAGTCAGTACTGCTCTTCGGGTAAAGTAAAGAGCCAAATGCATAGTGAAGGCTGCTTGATTAACAAAGATGAAACAGAAGTGACTGGCGTTTATAGGATGACATGTTCGGCAACAGCGCCGCCAGGTTTAGGTCATATTACGGTACCGCCGTCGCAGAGTCTACTGAAACCGGTCACTGATAGGGATCGCTGGTGCTATCGTAGGCTACAACAAATACGATTACGTTGCGTCGCATCGTCGTCACCGCCGCCATCACACTGACAATAGTAGCGACACCGCAGATTTTTCTCATTACTTCAGCCTCTGCTACGACAGCAGGATGAGTTGACGTTGTTGGCGCCGCTGTCGTGGCTGACTGCAATAGATGGTGACTTATCAGTAGGTTTAGTTCATCAGTGCGTGTCGCTAGTGAATCGCCACGTCCGGTGACATCCGAGCAGAGCCTCGCCACGCCAAATTATGAGGTGGCCGACGAGGTGCTGTTCAGTAAGAGTAAGCAAGCGAACTTTGTGTCCCTGACGAAAAACACGACCACAGATGGCGTGCGCTTTATTGCGACTATAAATAGGTAAACCAGACAAAACTTGAGTAGGCCAACAGTATACTCTTTCGAACTTTACAACAATTGCATCGCGTTTGATTTTTCTCTATAGACGTACAAATATTTATTCGAAACACTTTTGTCTCCGTTGTTTTTATGGAGGATATGAAACTCAAGTTGTTCATAGCATATATTACTGAAATCTACTGGATGAGATATCAATTATTTAAAATCGATTCGTTGGCTGTAGAAAGCGCAATTTATGGCTAATGCTGAGCGCATTCTATGTATAACTATTGTCGATTGTATTAAAATATCTCCAGTATTGCTGCCGATATCTTCAGGCGAATTATTGAAAGAGGGCGGGCATTTCTACGCACGATACTCAACTGTAGCTATGTCAACTAGCATGACTGAAAACATCGAACTCTAACAACCTCAATCCAAAGAATTCATTTCGTACGCGAATTTATCTCGCATAAGACTGAGGTAGTTGCCGCCAGCGCTGTTTTGTACTGTTGTTACTTCATTCGTATTGTAATAGGTGTGATATCTGATCCGCCAGTCGGCTCCGATCCCATCATTTAGATGAGCGTATCTGCCTAATAAGATAGTTTTAATGTTATTTACTAAGTGAAAAATATATACTATAAGAACATGAGTTTTTGCCATAGTATTTTCTACCCTTTTCTTTTAATGTCATGAGAACTGATCTAGGAATTACATTGAAATGTTTTAGCGGTGCTTTGGTCCACTGTTGTGCTTTTCGTATTTCTATTCGGAAAATAAAATGAAAAGCGAAGATTGTTTGCTTCATATAGAATGCGCATTAAAATCTGTCTGTCTGTCTGTCAACTACTGGAACAGGTTCCGACGTATTGTTTGCAGCATCAGAATTGTCTCAAACACAATTTTGATCCAATCGAATATTACCTAAACATGGCAATTTCTAGCAGAGGAGTTGTGCGTGAGACGATCATATGATGAAAATCGGGTCCTTATTTTAATAAAACTACCTACTGTATCAATAAGATCTCAAAACATCTCTTTTTTTTGGCCATCTCCTACGGAGTGGTGTATATAGTAAACTGCTTGCCGACAGTCTAAAGATTACAAACTATGAACAACCTAACTATTTACATATTAAACGTGATGAAGGTTGCTGCTGGAATCTTTGAATATTTTGCCTTATCAATTATACAATAGGAATTGTTAAATTTGCTGTTTTTTTTCCCCTGTTTCATAATAACAAACAGAGCCTTACTGTCAAACTTTGGCCGTTCAGTTACGTAGATGTGAAGTTGGGTTGCCCCGCTTAGCAGCGAGTGCCGGAAAAGTTTGTGCAAACCCATAGCATGCAGTTGCACTATTCCTCTTAAATGTATCGCCGTTTATCCTATTTTTGAACTGCTCAAAAAGACAGGTATCAGAAGAAGCAATTTTTTTGATATGTGATGTGAGGGTCAGATCTTATATGATGGCATGGATTGCACGCGTAAATAACATATTTTAATAGCACTCATCGTGCCTTCTAAGACAATCATAACACTGGAAAAGAACACAATTAAAAGATATTTTTAAATTCACTTTTATACTTTTGTGGAAAGATACATTTAAATTGGCTTCAAAATCAGTTTACCTTGGCCGTCATTCCGAAGGCTCTAATAATACAGAATCATTCAATAGACAAGTTTTAGGAATATAGTAGAGTATACTTTTAAAAGCCAGACAAAATAAATCAATTCTATATGTACTTTTGCCGATATTAGCATTTTTTGATGACGTCAACGTAATGATATAATAAGTTACAAGACTACTATCATTCTAATACTTCGATCTTATTATCTTTCGACACTACCTGCTTTTCAGTGAAACAGTTTATTTATAACATCTGTGAAATTTGGAAGAAGTATTAAATCACCCTTCTTCGAGATCAATGACGTCGTCATCTGCCTTATCGTTGTCCTGTGGGACCACTACCGCTAATGGAGGGGATAAGTTTCATGCGGCAGCAGTGGACAACTATCTGGATATCCTACGGGAGACTACACGGAAAGACTGTAATACTCCTGATGACGACGGTCTCACGCCAACGCTGTTAGCGGCATACCACGGTAATCTAGATGCCTTGAGACTACTTGTTGGAAGAGGGTAAGTCAAAAAGATAGGTATCATTATTGCTAATTCTGCAGGATTTGTTTCAGTCGACACCTGCTATAGTACATTTTTCACAACTCGTATTGGAATTGCTGGCCACCTGTACAAAACAATTAGTACTGTCTCACTTACAAGATTTAAACTTATTTTGGGAGTATATGTGGTTTGATCATGTTCGATTAGTAAAGTTATCTGTATTGGATAGCCATACAAAAGGGGGCGAGCGAGAGAAAAAGGCTGTGTGTAAAGCACAATTTTTGAAGGTGATGCCGTAAGGGAATTGTGGTGCGCGTGGTACGCAACAGCATCCGGCGTTCCGAAAGTCGTACAGATCCACGAATTCATAAAAGAAGGCTTAGACATGCAAGAGACTTTGAGTGAATGCCTCCTTTCATCTCAGTGGTATTTGGTAATCGCAAAAATTCACCCGAAAGGTACCGTGAAGTATACCTAAGAGCTCCGGAGCGTCCGCTCGCACTTAATCTCATCACTTGTGATGGTGACTGAAAATGATAAAAAGCTGCCGCGACCTCTAATCATTGATTTATAGCGTATGTCATACCTACAAAACACGTTTTGACTCCAAATAAAAATAACCCGACCTCAATTGATCGTGTGCCCAAAAACAACGCAAAATTTCATGGACTCCAACATTTGGAGCATACAATGTCATTTTTGTTTAATAATAAAGTACTTTCCGTGTACGCAGCCGAGGTGCGACTTGAGCATTTACTTTTCTGCTTGAGACTATATGCACTTAGGCCCTTTAGTGGCCCTGTTATCTCATAATATTCATGTGTTGTTGAGGTTCCTGACGCTTTCCTATGACGGATAGCTGGGACGCCCCATCTCAGATGAGCTTGAACATTCGTTTCTTGATAACGAAAACCACACAAAAATGTCACACTGACAAAAATGCCTTATCATATATGTAACGGCCAGCTGCTGGAAGCAATGAAAGACGTTGTTTACGGAAATCGCTAGGTCACACATGAACTAAATTAATCAAGTGTCAATTCGATCGAACCAAGCGATTGGTGACCAGAACATTATTGCCGTACTCCACCCTTTAGCGATCACATCCGGCCCAGTCAGATATGTTATATGATCAAAAATATAATTAGAATAACAGCTTCAACATACGTGCATTCTTAAATAGCAATAAGTGTTACTTTTAAAACCAATTTTTAAAGACGCAGCTAGCATACTGAACGCTGGGTCTTCCAACTTTTATTGTTTCTTCAGAAGTTTCGTCGTTCTATCGACAATACTACCTTACTCGGTGAAGAGCAGAAAATGATTTGAAACTAGATGTGTGAATATGATGAATTCAGACAGTGAATTTCCCTATGGTTCAACACTCCAAAATGCATACTTTTTTTCTATCTGGCGTCGAAGATGACCCGAATTTTGTCTAAAATTTAGAAGTTTTAGGCAGGTATCCTCGTAGGCAGCCGCTGTCAACTTGATATACTTCTAGTGTTAAACGTTGATATTCTAGGAATAAGAGCATGAAAAAGAGCATAGCTCTCAAGGCCCTCCTATTTTAAGCCATGTCAACAGGAAGCACGATATCTACTAGCGTCTTATTTTTCCTGTTCCGTTTGATACGCTCTATAATAAAGCAAAGTGCCCTTCAAAAGAGCGTTGGGGTCGTCAATAAACGCGCATATCTGGGCACAAGCAAGTCTGTTGGTACGTCCGGATAGTATGACTGTCCGGCGTTCTTGTCCTCCCCTTCACTTTGATTACTACAAAATAGTCTGACAACATCTGACACATCCTGCGGTGACAGGCTTTGTATTTCGGTTGCTATTTTCTAGAAAGCGGCGTCATAAATGAGCAAAAAAAAAACAAGGATACATCACACTAAGTGGCTTTGTACGAATCGACATGATTCATTTGATGACACCATAACTCGTTTCAGTTAGGCCAGCTGTCGGACTCAGCGGCTATACCCCAAGCCCAGCAACCTGCGGAAGAACACTAGCAGGGGCTCTGACGAATTTACTAACCCGGACTTACAAAGAAAAAGCCTTTTTATTTACGGCGTAATAGCATCAGACATATCCATGAATGCTGTAGGTTGAATTCGGAATTCGTGGAAATCATTCTATCCTTATTAGATTTTTGGATACTTGAGCCAAAGGTACCCTCAAGTTCATTATGAATCTGAGAAAAAGCTTTTATAGGTTAGCGTGGTACTTCACTCTACGATTATCACTAGAACTTCTAAACAGCCTTGGTATTTATAATAATACAGTAATTATCGAAGAAATAAGGAAAACTGTAAAGAAAATATTATTATTGTTGTCAAAGTTTTGAAGTGTTGTGAGGATGTTCTAACTGCTTGGACTTACTTGAACCTACTTATCCATTTATTTACTTATTTTGCTCCAGCCAGCTTCTCAATATTAATGTTTAAGGTTCAATCAGGCTGATGCACAAAAATCACGTTGTCGACACACACGAACCTTGTTCGAATACTGGGATATGGAAGCATCGAAATGTACACATGATGAGATGAGTGCAAATGATACCAAATATAATAAATTTAAATAAATGGTTTCGCTTATAGCCCTATACGTTATCTTTTTTAATCTACATTGGTACAGGAAGTTTTTCGATAACTTAAGATTTAGCCAGGTGTGAATTATCACGCAAAGTTTAACACAATAGATGAGCAAAGATTTCCTCCAAAGTTTCCACACTCCTAAAATTTGCCGTATTCTTTTTGCATGTGTCATTTTAGAGGGAACCCTGAAAAATGCGATCTCTTCGGGCAAACAGCGCTTCATCTCGCCGCGGCGAAAGGCCATATGAATTGCGTCTCATTTCTAGTCAATTTTGGTTAGTTATTTTTTTCTGACATATATTTAACTTTAGCATTGCCCCACCTAAGATATATATAAGAAGACACCTATATATATACCTATATATATATA